TGGACTTTGGTATGTTGCTAATACCATGGCTTAGAGGAAAATCTTTTGAATGTAAATGTATGCAGAAAACGGGACAGGCACAGTCTAGCAATCAACTGGTCTAACTCAGGACAATGAAATAAAATTAATTCGCTTGCTATTTCTCGTTGTCTTCCATATAATCGCATGTGAATGTGTCTCTCTCTGCTCAGGCTACAATAAAGGAAACGGTGAGAGCTACAGATTCATAATTGACTAAATATTACCATGGTCTCTTACTCCACCACACATAATTCTAGTCAAAAAATCGTCGATTGATTGGATATAGTTAAAACGAATCAATTAGTTTAGAGAGGATCAAAAATTAAGTCCAGACTGTGCCAAAAGTTGAGTGAATTTTTACTTTATATGGCAATCGTTCCAAATATAGCATAAATAATAAGTACGCAAAACGTGCAGGTGTCTTACTTATCCATGGCCAGTTTATGCAGTTCTGTCCAGGCTGAGGCAAATTTCCTGTAAGTAATTTCTTCTAAACTCGGCAGCACATAAAGGCCTGGAGATTGGAAGCTTCCGAGCAAATTATCTATGTCGTCGATTGCCATCTTCATCTGTTGCCCATCCACGTCGATGATCTGCAATCAGTAAATAAGATTTTTCGAGATATAAACCGAGTATACAGCATTGTCTACTGATAATCCAATAGCAAACACAAAAGCCCAGGTTTGGGCTGAAAACAAATCTTACAGAAGATAGTTATTGGAATGATGTGGAAAATGGAGGTTAAGTGAAAGAAGGATGGTACGTATAAATCGCTAATTAGTCAGCAATACTTATAGCATCAGACTTTAACCAAAAAACCCTTAACTCTATCCTCAATAAACATTCTTTCTTCCTCTCGTTTTCCTTTAAATTTTATACTCAAATCGTAAAATAAGTAGTCTATTTTCACATATTTTTCATATGTAAGTATAGTATTTAAGTGCCAGTCCTTCATCACCTCGAACGAAATAGGGTGAATACATCTCATATTATTTTCACTGAGCCAGCAACAACTTACCCACATGCCCTCACATTCAACCTCACACAGGTCTTATCAACATCCCCAGCGAGAATGGAACCATGACAGTGAAGCGTGTAATCTCGACACGTTAACCATATTACACGCTGCAATGTCATGGTTCAACTTCCACTGGGGGTGTCGATAAGACCTATACGAGGTCGAAAGTGCAGTTCACCCGGGATGAAAACAACATTTGGGAAAGCAGTGCCATGTGAAATTCAGTGGAAATGCCAGATCCACTCATATCATTGTGGGAAAATTAAACTACCAGTCCAGTATCACCTTAAACGAAATAGATGGAACACAACTTATATCTAATTTACTGGTAGTCTCGAAAACCTACTAACTTTTCAAAGAAACCACAAAACTTTCTTCGATTATGTCGTCTATTTAAGAGAAATATGACGCATTATTAAAATCTATGTCCGTGAGTATTAAGCTTCTAATAATCAAGCTCCTCATTTTTTCGATATTCAGTGTGTAGCTGCTATGAGAGTGGAAATTGAACATTATCCTAGCATGTGATTTTAAAAAAATAGTCTCTCGAATGTCTAGTTTGAGAGAATGACCTCAACATTTAGGAAATATAACTGCTCATCTTTCTCCACCTCTATTATGAATTTGATTCTTGTAAAATTGGTTTATAAAATTCAGAAATCCTTCTATATTTTTTCTACCATATGAACAGACTAAAAATTAGTCATCAGGCGTCGCATGGGCTCTCTTGGGTACAGTTGTGACTTCTCTCAGTTATTTTCGAATGGGTCAAGGCATGCCTTTTTCGAAAGAAGTGATAGTGGATATCTCAAAGAGAGTTCCAATATTTGCTCGTAGCTATCATCGTATGCTATGAAATAGGTTGTCCTTAGTGTCAGAATTATCATTCGTATACAGACTTCTGTATCCGTTCCAAGTTCCTTGGCAGGATCGTGAATACTATCTCACCTAAGACATTTTCTGGACTCATTTCCATTTTTAGTGAAAAAGTGTGGTCACTTTCAATACTTCTTAGTCCACGCTTTCTAGCTCACATGAAGACAATAGGCTCATCAACATAACCACACGTGTTTCCGACTGCGAAATCGGAGTAATAGTTGAAATAAATATAAAGAGAAAATGATGGTGTTTATCAAAACTTGATGATGGAGAACACATTACATTTTATGTTTTAATTTTTTTAAGCCATCACTACTGGTTTTATACATACACGAACACATGAAGGCACATAAACACATTCAGATAGGCACACTCACGTACTTCGAGGTTGTTATATGAGTTGAACTAGCCAAATAACTTTATGCCTCATCAAAGATTTTAAATATAAGGTATATGTACAGCATTTAGGGATAAGCCGGTAAAGTTCCTTGACTTATTAGCTTGTAATTGTTGTAAGGATGATATCCTGCTCTGGTGATTTCCGTCATGCGACGGACGTTTTCATCGAAATCGAAGGAGATGGCCTATAAAACAGTGTCAACAAAGAGTGTTTCAGTAATTCCAATATACATCTGGTCATGAGGAATCGTAGTCGTTGTCTGGTTGGAACTATCCTCACATGTCTTCACTAAACACTTTCACTCGAAATGGAAAGAAGCTCGACGAATATTATCTGAGAGATTGCTCGAAACACAACTTTTCTTCGCACATAAGACTTTTGCATAGATTGATTGTACTTTAAAGCTTTCTAGTCCAAGGTTTCCGGTATTTGAAGAAAATTCACATGAATTCTTTACAGTACTTGGTAATCTGTTGCTTACCTTCTCGAACTTCAAGTATGGTTATCCACTATCCGAGGCTAGAAATTATTATGACTACTATGATAGAGGGCTCCGGACAGGGCACATTCAAATAGGTCTCTCTGATAACACGATCAAATTGTGAAAAGGACATCAAACCCTCATTCTATTTAGATATTTTTTATTTATATAACGATAAGAAAATTTCAAAGCAAATAAATAAAAATAAACAAAAATAAATTCTAATAGTAAAAAAGTATTATAAATAAAACTAGTAATGAAATGATGCATGAGTAGCCGAGTTAATCAGGTGTTTGGAAAAGTTATTATGTATGCACACCGTTGGCTAAATTATTACATTCTCGTATTAGAAAACAGCAAAACAACGAGGATTTGTGACAAAACGTCTTTCTAACTGACTGCTCACGTGTCGAATGCGGATAGAACTGGAGTCAAAGTAATTTCGAACAATAGCCAGGCACTCCCACAGTTGACGACCAGTGCTGAGGTCGAATAGTGAATCAGACCGATCGGGTCTGGGCAGCATAGAGGACATCGGAGCCTCGGTTGTGGCATGGAGATGCTGACGTATTCCTTCCAGCCGACGGACTATCAACCAACTGACGGGGTACGCAAGCAGCTGGAAGGCAGCCAAGCGGTCGGAGATACAGGCCAACCGATGCTCTGTCAACCACAAATGTAGACCCGCAAGTAAGGCTTCTGCAGTCAGATGGCGACAACGACTGAGGTCGAGGTCATGGAGGCCGACCTCTGCGAACCGGCGAAGCCAGTGCTCCGATGGTTGAAGGAGATCGTTCGTGGCAGTGGAAGTAACCCGCAGGCGAATCGTTTGCTTATTCACTTCAGAGAGTAATGCCTCAATTTAAGAAAGATAAAACTAATAATTATCAATATGAGACACAAAAAACAATACTTGATTCGAAAAATAATAATTGCCATTACAGGATATAACTACGAAAGAACTCAAGAGCAAAGTGTCGAGGTACAGAAAACACTCAACAACACTTAAACGACAAGAGGACCTCATTTATCAAA